TTTTTGCCTCATCTCTTCAAAAAAAAAAAAAATCTCAAATACAGTAACAGGCCAGACCACAGAGTTAACACAAACCCAGAGACCCCCCTATGGATTAATTGTACTGTTTGTGAATTTGTATAAAAAAAAAAAAAATAACAAAGATCCTCTTAAAACATTTTATATTCTTACAGTAAAAGGTTAAACATATTTATATAATAAAAGAGGAAATATGAAGTATGTTTTTGAAAAAAAAAAAAAAAAAACAAAAACAAACCAAAAAAGCTGTATCTGTGTTGTCTGTGCTTTTTAAAGACAGGTATCTATCGATCTCTCGCTGTTGGGTTTGGTAAGTATTGCCCTGCAGCTCACACCGGGGGTTTGGGGCTGCTCACTCGTGTCCCACTGAGTGACAGAGGAGGAGGAGGAGGAGGAAGGAAGAGAGCCCGGTACCTTCTGTGCAGGATGTTGAGTAACATCACCATGAAGATTGCTGTCAGGAAGGGGTTTGGTAGGACCAGCCTTGGCTGTGAGGATGCTTACAGCATCCGTGGGGAGAAACCGAGTCCAGCTGCCCGTGGGTGTGAGGTGTTGGCTCAGCTGGAGGTCAGACAAACCAAAAGTGCTGAAGCTTGCTAGCGAGTGAACCGGGAATTCGGGGGTATTTGGGAGGGGGGGACAGGAGGGCTGTGTTTCTTAATTTTTAAGGTAGATGGCAGAAGGATTTTTTTTTTGTGATTTACTTTAAATTGAGGCCCACCTCAGGGTGGAAGATCCATCAAATAAATACATTATCCAGAAGTGACAACCACCAAAAAAACCCTGCTGGTGCACAAAGACCTGAGAAATCTCAAATGTCTTGGTTTCCACTGCCCAGACTGAGATTAAAGAGGAAGTAAAGTAGGAATGTAAAAAAAAAAACCAAACAACCAAACAAAAAAGTTTGACTAATCTAAGGTGTCCTTTGTGCTATACCATCATCTTTCTCCTCAACCATAATCTTTCTCAACGTATGACTTTTAACACGACGGGGTCCCTGGGTTTTTTATTGTTGGAGACGGAGCTGAAGCGGTGTTTTATCAGGCAGTGACAAAGCCCATCTTTTCCCCCTCAGCCTGGTGACGGGGCTCGCTCGCCCCCGCTGCCCCATTCCTGCCTGGAAGGAGTGGGAATGCGAAATGGTGGATGGAAGAAGCCGGAGCTATTGTTCAGGAAAGTTAAAAAGAGGAGCTGTCCTTGCTTGCTTGCTCAGTCATGCATACTCAATCTGGCCGGGCCCTGGTCCCTATGGAAAGGAGGAGGGCGATTCTTCCCCTCTTTTTAACATTCCTCTCCAGGCCTGGGCTGTATTTAAGCTGCTTTCCTCCACGCCACCGAGGAGGAGGAGGAGGAGGAGGAGGAGGGAGGGAGGGGGATGGTCTGAAGTTCCTGTATATTTGCATTTCAAGCACTTCCAGCCCTGAGTAGGCCACTTTGTTCCCCCCTCTGCCTTACCCCTGGCTCCAGCAGCCTTTGCTGGGTTGTTGCTCCAGGTGGGTCAGATGTCCTACCAAAAGGCTGTCCTACCAAAGGAGGACCACCCTCTGCAGCAGGGCCAGCCTGCCCTGGGTGCTTTACCCTCTGCCTCCACAGGTATTTTTTGGTTGAGGCTGGACCGAGTTATACTCCTTTGTTGCCAGCTCTTAACCATCTCACCGCATTTCAAAGAGGAAAATAATGCCCAGCTCTTGTCCCTCTTCAAAAGAAACACTATCTCCTCCACATCCTAAGGATCTGGATTGTCTCAAGGTTTGGACTTTGGGGTGTGTGTGTGTGTGTGTGTGTGTGTGTGTGTGTGTTCAATTTTTCCTCCCCTCTTTCCAAGACTTCTAAGCTTTCTGCTGGGAATCACAAAAGCTGCATTGTTCGCTTTAGGGAAAGCCACCGCAATTGGATCTAATTGAGCCTGACACTATATCCATCTTCCCTTCCTTGGAGGGAGCTATGGGCTCTGTCTTTCCTGCTTTAAAGAAAAATAAAGTAGTTTACAGTAACTTCTTGACCAAAAAAAGGGGATATATGTATGAATGCTATAAACATCAGGAATTACAGCCCAGGTTCCCATTACTGCTGTAAATGTAAGCGTAAATATTCTGAGGTAGGCAACAGTTCCAGCCAGGGAAGGGGAACCATACATCTCTCAAAAGGTAGGTTTGTTTCTGCTGGATTTGAGTGAAAATGACATCTCTTCTTACCAAGCCCTGTGTTCACATGAATAATAGTGAGGCATCTATGTCTAAACATCATACTTGCACTCATAAATTTTGTGATTATTAATAAATTCTGTAAAATAATTTGCATAAAATCTTAACTAGGACAGGATTTTATTTATTTATTTATTTATTTTTTAATTCCCCAAACTTTCTCTCCCCACTTAAAAAAAACCAAGCCAAAACATTGCCCACATGGGCCACAAAGCTATTTAAGAGGAACCCAAGCCTAAGGAAGCTGCTGGAACCAAAGCCTCCCCAAAGCCCAAGCCTTTAGATCCCCTAGGCTGTTCTCGTAGATGGAAGCAAGTGCTCCTCATGCCTCCCTCTCATACCCTCTCAGGCACAGAGGCACTCCTCACCAGCCAGCGAGGCCAGGGCTGGGCAAACACATCTGTTGACTAGTAAAAAGAAAAGAGTTTCTTTAAATAAATAATCCATTGCCAGCAACCATAGACTAATTACCATATGACTCCTCAAGGGTAACAAGCAAACTTCATTTTCACTCTCCATCCGCTCCATGAATTTTTTAAGATGACTCAGTTGGCAACTAGGGTAGAAAAACATAAAAAAAAAAAACAAAACAAACCCAAACAGAACAAAACAAACCACTATTGGGAAGTCTCCTGTCTGTCTCAGCAAGCCTGCTGTCCTGCTGTCCCTCGCCTACAGCGGCACGAGCCAGGACGTGGAGGATGGAGGATGAACCAGGGACTCGCTTTATGGACTGGTGGTTTGGGGGAGCAGAGGGGGCCAAGCTTGAGGGGTGGCAGCAGAAAGTGGATCAGAGCAGGAGTGTCATGAAGGGACCAGGCAGGAGAGGAGGTGGCTGGGTGGCAGCAGAAAGTGGATCAGAGCAGGAGTGTCATGAAGGGACCAGGCAGGAGAGGAGGTGGCTGGGGACCGAGGGGCAGTGGTGGGGGAGTGCACAGGAGTCCCAGAGCAGGCAGCTGGATCCTCTCCCGGGGAGATGGGGAGGGAAAGGAGGCTCCACCTGGGTCTCACTGCCCTTGGACCAGCACACGGGAGGTCTGTGCGTGACAGATTTATACATTTTATACCATCCCACCCCACGCTGCGGGTTTGGCTGAATCAGTTTGTCCTGGTG